ATTTATTAGTAAAATTGAAAACTTTTATATAAAGAGAAAAATCCGCATTTTACTATGTTTAATTAGTAAATTTTGACATTGTTGCATTATTTCTGATTGTCACTGTATAATAGCAATCAAAAATAATATAATTTATTAATTAAATATAGATTTTTCTTTTTATATAAAGATTTTCAATTTTATTATAAATATTTATTATTTTTATATTAAAATAAAGATAATATTACATATTTTAATATATATTTTTTTAGATTTTTTAGATTTAATCTGATAAAGCTGTTCTAATTACATATAAATTAATTATTTTTTTATATATTTTAATTATAAAAAAATAATTGACTTTATATGTAATTAAAACAGTTTAATCAGATTAAATCTAAAAAATCTGAAAAAAATATATGTTAAAATATGTGATATCTTTATTTTAATATAAAAATAACAAATATTTATTAGCAAAATTAAAAACTTTTATATAAAAAGAAAAATCTATATTTAATTAATAAATTTTAATGTTATTGCATTATTTCTAATTGTTATTGTATTTAAAAAGTTAATTAATTTATTTGCAACTAAAAAAAACTTTTTCAATATTAGTAAAATTAAAAACTTTTATATAAAAAATTCATATTTTATTAGTAAATTTTAAAATAATATTATTTTATAAGTCATTATACTATATTTATAAGTCATTATACTATATATAAGTATTATATATATGATAAAATTAAAATAAGATAATTATATTATAGATTATTTAAAATTTTACTTTATTTAAAAATAAAATAAATTTATTTAAAAATTCATAAATTTAAATTAAATAAATAAATATAATTTTATTTTAATATATTTTAAAATATTATTAATAATTTTTTCAAAATTAATTTGATGATCGTATTTAATTGATAATTATATTAGTTTTATCTTGATCAAAATTAATTCTACCATACATATATATAATAAGTACAACAAACTTTAAATTATTATTAAATATATTAATTTAAATTAAATATAATTCTGATTAAATTTTAATAAAAAAAATTATAAAACTTAAAAATCTTTATTTCCAAAAATTTGACTTTATTAATTTGATATTTGGCTTGAAATTTTTAATATATCCAGTTTAGTCACATTAAGAATTCTTTTATATAAACTTTAAATATAAAAAAATATATTATTTAATAAGTATTATCAGTTTTATATAGTTTTTATTGAGAAGATACAATTTAAATAATGTATTTTTTAAAATTTCAGCATTAATACTAAAAAAATAATAAATCTGGCCAATCATATTCAATTTTATCTACAATATTTTCAGCTTTATAAGTAATGATGCGACTAAGCCGGTGCATTATAGAAGCTTTGCAAAATTATATATTATAATTTTTATTATTTTTTTGCAAACATATATCAATAATTTAACGAATTTAATGTGTCAACTCCTGGTAAAAAGAACGGTTAAATAATAAAACGGATTTGTATGCAAAGTACAATCCTCCCCTATAAAGAACATTTTTTTTTATAAAACCAATAGATATAATATCAAAAAGATTTATATAATTCAAGATTATTTTTTATCGGTCTCGTGTTGCTGTTGGCCAATCGCAGATTTTTACCTGATGCTGGTACAAATTGTATTTGTTGTAAATTTGCGTAAGTTAGCTGAACCAATCATAGTGTAGCTCGGAAATCCTTTTTTTCCCTTTGGTATCAAGTAACAATTCACCCTATAGTTTTCCCGCCAAAACTTTTTTAGGCTATCTAATAATTTTTGCATAATAACGACTAACTTTTCGAGATCTTTTTGAAAATATTTCTTTTTTATAACCTTTATTTTGCATTTGATTTCTCCTAACGATGGGTGCTGCCGACGAAGGTTGTAAAAGTCTCTATGTCGGAAATCTCGACCCCAGAGTAACTGATAGTATGCTTCAAGAGATCTTTTCGGTGGCTGGTTCTGTGAACAACACCAAAATTATTCCCGACAAAAATGTGAGTTTGACTTTATAGTATAGTTCCACCATAGGGCGATTATAGGTGTTTTGAGGCGTTCCTGAAGACGTGTGTAAGGGTTCGGGTGATGTTCGACGCCTTATGATTTGGCAAAACTACTCTTTTTCCCTTGATAAAATAACGAAGTACAACAAACTATTTTGAAAAACGAGTGACTTCATTCTGGATTATCAATCCGTCTATGGCTCTTGTGGTTGCTGGATACTCTTCCGAGTTGCGCTCCATAAATACAATGACGCAGCTCAAAGGTTGGAATTCCTTTATCTTCACCTCAGTATCTCTCTATGTCTCTCTCTCTTCTCTATCTATCTCTCAGTTCCATTTACTCTTTCTGCTTTCGAGATTTCATCATTTTATTCGGATCATTTTTTTCTTAATTTAACGTTCATCACACCAATTAATTCAGAGCAGATTTTGAATTCATATAGCAAATAACTCTAGTTTTCATATTAGACTCTATCTATCTATCTATCTATATGCGAATCCTCGTCCTTTATTCTGGCAATTGTAATGCTTTTTTGTTCTTGATTATAAGAGGCGACGTTTCTTTCCAATCAAGACAAAATTGGAGTATGGCTCGTAGGCGATTCCCTTATACAACTTAGCACTGTCTCAAAAGCTTTGATATTAGATAATTCTTCAAATCAGTTCATTATTAACAAATATTTATTTATGTATGTATTTATTTTTTTTTGCATACTTTATTTTTCCTAGTATCAACATGGCGGCTTGAATTATGGATTTGTGGAATTTAATGACCATCGTTCTGCAGAACAAGCTCTCCAAACGTTGAATGGGAGACGAATATTCGACATGGTAAAGATAAATTAAAATATTTAAATATTTAAATAACAACAAAAGCTCAAAGTAATTACATATTTAGGAAATTAAAGTGAATTGGGCCTTTCAAGGTCAACAAGGACACAAAGAGGATACATCAAGTAAAGTATCTCTGAATGTCTCAAAGTCAAAGAGTGATTAGCGTATTAATTAATATTTCTATTTTAGATCATTATCATATTTTTGTCGGTGACTTGAGCCCAGAAGTGAATGATGAAGTGTTAGCGAAAGCTTTTAGTGCATTTGGCAGCATGTCGTAAGTATTTTATTTATTTCACTAATCAAGTTTATCTGAAAAATAAATAAATAATTTATTAAATTAGGGATGCTCGTGTAATGTGGGATGTCAATTCTGGTAAATCTAGAGGATATGGTTTTGTAGCTTTTCGTGATAAAACGGTATTTGTTTTTAGAATTAATATTATAGGTTTATTGATTACATAAATCAAAATTAATAAAATATATTTTATTTAGGACGCAGAACAAGCTATTGCAACTATGAATGGTAAATGTCGGGTCTATTTGATTTTATATATTGTATTATTTATTTTTTTTTGAATGCACAATTTTCTATTCATTTTGTAATTTCAGGCGAATGGCTTGGAAGTCGTGCTATTCGATGTAATTGGGCCAATCAAAAAGGTCAACCTGGACCAGGAAGTACAACATCGGAACGGCAAGGTAATTTTTTATCCTAGCTATTCGTATAAACCAAAAATTATCTTTCATCCTTAGGATATTTAAATATAGGAACTCCTCCTCAAGCCCCTCAACTTTCCTACGATATTGTTGTCCAACAAACTCCACAATACAACAGTACCGTTTACGTTGGGAATTTGCCAGCTTATACAACACGTAAGTTTAAATTTTTATTTATTAATTAAATTCTCTTTTATTTCATTAAATTTTCTTTTATTTCATTAAGTAATTATTGATTAATTCTTTTCAATTATTATATAGAGGAACATTTGATACCATATTTTCAACAATATGGATATATTATTGAAGTTCGGATGCAAGCAGATCGTGGGTTTGCTTTTGTGAAGTAAGTAGGTTAATCGAACAATCGTTTAGATGTAATTATTTTTCTTATGAATTTTTTGCGAATATTGTCAGACTCGACACGCATGAAAATGCCGCTCATGCGATTGTGAATTTGCAACAAACTACAATTAATAACCGTGTTATAAAAGTAAGTCAGTGATAAGTTATTCATTAATCATTTATATATAATTTTAACAAGATATAAATTGGTATAGTGTTCTTGGGGAAAAGATAGGGCTCCTGATCAGCCAACAACTACTTACCATACTTATGGAGTACCAAGCACTTACAACTATCCTTACGCATATTATAGTGGACAAGGTCATCACTATGCCACACCTGGTCCAGAAGCTGGGTTCGATCTACCTCCTGGAATGTCTGCCCCACCACAATCTTTGGCGTCTTTAGATGGTGCAGCTGCGGCCGCAGCTGCAGCAGTTGTAGCTGGTCAACAGCAACATCCAGCAGCAGGTTGGGAACAATATTACAATAACCCGGGTTATGATGCGTATGGACAATATTACGGATACGGCTACAACGCTCAAGCAGCTGCCTCGGCTTCCGGTGGGGCACCTGGAATGGGTACTCCTACTTCTCCTCATGCAGTTGCTGGTGCTCATCCAGGTATGCATGGACCTAATAGTGGCAATGCTTATTCAGGTTAAGAAATGTAGATTGTGAATAACGGGTGTTCAAGATAAGTCACAGCGTGAAATAATATATCAGAGCAAACAATAAATGTATTGACAAAAATGTTTTTGAAATTACATATACTCAATCCGTCTGCAATTTTCAAGATTCGTAAAAAGAACAATTTGTGATATAATAATCTTATAGATCTACTTTTGAAAATTTCGACTACATTGAATACAGAATTATAGTTCGCTTATTGAAAAACAAACACACGTTCATAATCATCGGATTAATTGATTAGATCTTTGGAAACATAAATTGAAATTCTATATAGTTTGTTGAACTAGTATTGAATGGCATTTGACTCTCCAGCCCAGCCCAGCCCAGTCCAGTCCAGTGGACTAAATTGGACTTAGTAAATTAAATCACACGTTTGACTGTTAACTCCGCACTAAATGGTAGAGCGGAATCATATATATATGTTTGCCACCAGATTATTGATAGTTTTATACAACATTACCAAAAAAGATTTTCTCACCAAAAAAACATTATTATTCACAAGCACTGAAATTATACTTTTATACTCGAATCAGTTGTGACGCACTAATTGAGCATATCTGAAATCAGAGTTGTCACTCAATACAGTCAGACCTCGATTTAACGACTATGCGATTAACGATCATTAATTAATAACTTACTTTTTCGACATCATTCTTAAAATCCCCTTCTATCAGAGTGCATATTAAAATCAAGCGAATTTTTGAGATGGCGACATTTTTCAATTTTTTACCATATATCCCCCCGACCCATCGTTAAATCGAAGTCTGACTGTATAAGTTAGTCATCTGAACTTCTAAAGTTTTACAAGTTTGCATATCACATGATTTCTATGACTAATCGTAATACGAGCGAGGTAATGACGTTTACTAGAACATGAGATACCTTGTTCGTTGTCACGCACAAGTCTTTCCACCACAGATATTCCTCTTGAAATCTTTGCAAACACCTGCCGCCTTCTGTCTTATTCAGGTTGACAAGCCAAAACATTTGGCGTATCTCACGATTTGAATTACTCGGTTGTCCAAAAGCTTTCACAGGCAGATATGATTTTTTCAAGCTTACGGCAACTGAGAGGGCTGCCAATTTTGTGGCACTCGTAAATCTGAAATTACGTTTCACTAAGAGTTCAGGGTTCGCTGTTGTTATAAATATTTTAATAAACCAGATATACTGAATTAAAAGGCTTACAAACATATGATTATGTTGTTGAGCTTGATGGCCGAAAATACCTGAGGAACTAATATCGTGCCTTTCGCATCAAAAGTTCTTTGAAGACGTTTTATTGGAAGATGTTTATGGACCTTTGTTCGGAAGCAAACAAAAATTATTATGGATTCCTGAATAACGGCTATTGCACCAGCATATGAAACTTTGAGTGTCGGGAATGGACCCTCAAAAGGTGATACAAGAAATGTCGGTTAAGTGGGGGCTACAAGGTCGAGTTTTACAAGACATGGAAAATGGACGACGTTATTGGAAAATATTCTGTAAAAGTGTTAAAAAACCTATATGGTAACTACCCCGAGATTTAAATGGACGGAATCGATTGGACTCTTTGACATTGTATGGCAAAAGTCAACACATATGATAACTCATCCGAGATTTTACGGATTTAAGTTGAACAAAAACGATTGGTCTCTTGCGCACTAGTACGGTAAATGGCCATGCCATATACTTAACAAGTACTTTACGTTTATTATATTAGAGAATAAATGTTTATTGATTCGTTTTGTGCTATTTTAAAGCTTGATGAAGTTAAAACAGAAGGTATTTCTTATTTAATTATTTATAATTAAATATGACAGTTCATGTACAGTCAAGCCTCGATATAGCGAAAGTGATAGTCACCCCATTTATGATTATATTCCTCTAGTCGCTATTTCTGTTATCAAGTAATTATAAACAAATCTTGTTTATAGTTACTTGATAACAGAAATGGCGACAATAGAGAAATATAATCATAAATGGGGTGACTATCACTTTCGCTATATCGAGGCTTGACTGTAGTTAAATATTTATTGTAGACTTTTTTTAGACAAAAGCGGAACTTATAAGGATCAAAGATCTCTGAACTTAGGCAAGCTTTAACAAATTCGTAATTGCAGTCAGTACAAGTATTCACCTTATCCCAAATAAATGAGATTTTGTGGATATTCATTTTAAAAACATAAATTTAGAATTTTATTTAAAGGAACCACAATCTTTGCATATTCATCAACAAAGAAACATGAGATATCGGAACTTTAACGAGTGATATGTAAAGTAGCTATCTCAATTAGTCTGGACATAAAAACGTTCGAATCAAGCGAACTGAACTTATCTTGCTGGAGACCTGAGTTCGATTAAGAAATATTCTAATTAAACTATTGGTCTATGTTTAATTAGTACTACTGATTATTTATTATAGTTTTATATTTTTGTTATACTTAGGAAAATACATCAAAGCATTGGCAGAATTTTATAATCGTTTACGTTGCATACCAAAAAAAATCAATACTTTATGCATCAATAAATTAAGCCAAAATTATTCATTTTTAATTTTTGAATAAAATTTATATTCTATACTTAAATATAATGTTCCATGAAACACTTGTTTATAGTATTAGATACAGAAAAATAATTATTACCAAAAAAAATCCTATTTCTTGCCAAGTGTGATTGATTATGTTTTTCTGTATTTCATTAGTGATTAAGACGAGTTTTGTAGTTTCTCTCTACCATATTCCACAAACTATCAAACAAATATAAAAGAAAATTCAGTGTCAATAATTTTAATATTGATACTTGTTCATATTAGGATTGCACTTTACCTCGTCAATTAAAACTGGCCAAGCACCTAAAAAATTGTAAAGACCGTGAGTTTTTATAACATACGGAGTACCAGAGAAATAATTTTTCTTACCTTCGGCGTCATAATTCGACAGATCTAGATTGACCTGTCTAATGAAATCCAGTAGCTAAGTGATGAAAAGGATTCATTGGTTATTTTTTTCAAAACTGTATTAGTCGATCAATCGGATACAACTTATCCTACCAAGTTCCACGTGTCTTTCGAAATGGATTTTCCATGCTTTTCCTGTTTATACACAAAGATGATTTGAATTTGGCATTAACATATATATAACCACGAATCAATTTTTTTGAGAAATAATCTAACCTTAATAAATTCTATCCATATGTCAAGATGTGGCCAACGGTCTCGTAGCAAAAGTTGCCAATATTCGATTGCAATATCCAGATCTACATAAGATACATAAGAAGTGATTTAAGATTAATAAATGAAATGACTGATAATTTAAAATAAATAAACTAATATTCTTTGAAGCTCCTACTCAAAGATTTTTGATTTTCACTAAGCCCAAACTTAAATGTGAATTGATAAACCTCTTTGAATGTTGTCTCTTCCTTTAAAGATTGTCGAAGTCTTGGTATAGCAGCTCGCATCTTTTCAATTGTGTCACACCTGGTATTTAAAAAGACGACGAATAACATTAAAAGTAATAATAATAAAGTAATAATAACAAAGATTTACAGACATAAGCATATAATCATAATTAGATAATAAATATTACTTTAATTTTGTCCATCCATTGATAAACCCTTGGCGTTTAAATTCACACATTTTTTCTGATTCTAAATTCCAAGCTATAACCAACATCACGACATCTTCTGGCGCAACACGTAAATCATTGCAATATTGAAGCATTCCATCAACAAGAATGGCATCTTCATCTTTATCTAGGAATGTCAGGAAAATTATAGAATGTTAGTCGACTATAAGATAATTTTAAAATAAGAGTTTTTCATACTTGTTGAAAACCCCCGAAAAAAGGGCCAATAATAAGGCCCACCCTAAGCTTCATGAAACCGAGTTATCCCTCTCTACCTTTATATCGGTTAAAAATTAGACTAAGTTTATTGGTATCAACTCCTGAAGGTGCTGGCGAAGCAAACCTATTCCATGAAGTGGTGGCCGGTTGATCATTAAAGAAAGCGTCAACTGCCACTTCTACGTTCCAGTTAAAGTCTTTAAGTTTTCGAAGGGCGATTTTTTCGCTACGATAATCGTGGGAGAGTTTCCATTAATTATACTAGAAACATATGTATTTTCAAGTAGTCTCAAAAGAGAAACGCCTAGACCACTTTCTCACTCCATTACACATCTTAAAAGTAATACCTGGCACTGGTAAATGTCATAAACTGTCGCACTTTCTCCTTTTGCGTAGATTTCAATGAATTCTGTGAATTTGAGTCGAAGACAGATCAGAAAATATCCTTATAGAGGCGTGCAAGTTACCAATCAAAGTTTGTAAAATTACCATTTTAATAAGAGGTATTTCGGGGAAAACAAATAATGATAAGGTTGTCCGGATTATGCAAATGCAGCGGCTTATTCCAAAGGATTTACAGATTTGTTAATATAAAAAGTAGTTACACAAATAGTGTGGTACATTTATTTTATATCTTAATAAGCTAATTTTTAGTACCTAAAAAGCTTGTCGTTATTATTGAGATTGCCTAAGAAAAAGACTACCAAATTTTCCATTTATGTAATTAAATAACGCATTATATCTGATAATGAAACGATTCCTTTTAATTTACTTTCTGAATCAACGACAATCAGACGATGCACCGGAGCCTTTCGTATCAAGTCAAAAATAGAGGAAAGTGAATCATTAAGCGTGCAAGTGTGAACTCCCGGAAAATCCTGGAAAAATTGACACCTGAGTATAAAAGTTATTTCTAGAATATATTGCAAGATGAAGTAATGATTTTACCTCTGTTCTTTTGAGAATTGCCTCACCGATAGGTAAATCAATGCCATAATAAGCGCCAGCACGAACTAAGGTCTATTTTTAAGATGTTTGCAAATAGTCAGCAGCTTATTAGATATTAGCATTTATTCTAATAAAATCTGCGCATACCATCACATCGACAGTTTCATAAACATTGACTACCACCTCTATTACATCGTAAAGAAGAATTGTCTTATAAGTAATGAATAAATACATAGCAATTTGCATTGATTTGATATAATTTAAAAAATTACGATTTTCGTCTACTATTGGCACGGATGATATTCGTCTCTCAACAAATGTATTGATAACCTCAATGACTCGCGTCGATAAACTTGCGGTTGCAAGATTATCATATACGCCAATTTTGATTTCTGACAAAGGCTTTCTTAATAATTTCGTTTCTTTGCACTACCCAACATCAATACAATAAAATATTAATGATGGTGATGATGAGGACAATGCAATAATTGATGCTCAGGTAAAACGTCAATGCTTATTCTTACATTCATTGCAATAAATTTCAATATTCTGTACTGAGTGACTACAGAAACAATCATTTCTTGACTAGTCTCAGAATCCACATCCACTAACGGTAATCTGTGTGCACGTGCTTCTATTAGCAGCTTACATGCTTCATATAATGTTTTGAGTGGATCTATAGATAGCAATTGAGGAGCTGGGATAATTCGTCTTTCCACCTCTAAATATAATAATTCATAAGAATATATCAGAAAATGCGCGGAATATCAAATAAATGAAGTAACAAATCCGATAGTCTACCTCTTAGCTGTTGTATTTGAAATTGTTCTATTTCCTCTAATGCGGCAGAATATGATGAATTCTTGTAATAATATTGAATTAAATTCATGAAATCGGATACTGTCAGCATTCCTGCGAATTTTTGATTCGCCGAATCCCATAAAGGGGCTGAGACGACTCCTGTTCAGTATAAAGCACACGGCATTTGAAATGGTTATATGCAGGCTGGTCACAAAAAAACTATATGAGAACCAATAATTTGAACGTCACCTTTCACCAAAAAATAAAACAGCAGCAACGAAAGAGTCAAGCTTAGTCTATTGCAACGTGAAACGCTCACCATTTTGCATTAAGGCAGTTAACGCCCTTTTTACTAATAATGTGGTATCTAACACTATAAGTCGGTAACTAACAGGTAGGACATCGTAGGAAGAATGCTGTTTGAGGAATGAGCATACTAAGCCGCGTGGAGTTATATTCGCGGGATTATGCTGTATTTGAGTTAACCGCTGGGCATTGTCGCTAGGTGCTGTGCCAAAGCTAAAAACTGACTGTGGAGGATTGTCGTTTACTGGAATTGGATTTTCTGGCGACTGAAACTGTGAAGAGGAACTAAAATTTATGTGTTCTGCCATTTTAGAGGTAAAAGTTTGGGTGAATGCTCGGGACAAGTTATTTATCATATTATGTATGACGTTACACTTGAACGAACAATATAAAATGATTTTTTGCATGTGATTTTGTGAATCAGATCTGAGTGTGAGGCTTACGAAAAGAAATGTCGAAAACAATAAAGTCTAATGAGATTCTTCCTATTGTACACGCCGAAGCTCCCGCCGAAGAACCTGAAATTCAAGGGGAAGAAGCTGCTCCAGAACCCGAAGAACCGGAGGATGTAAAACCTAAAATAGAAGCAGGTGAATTAAACAATCAGACTGATCACCCTTTTATTGTATTTCGCCTCTTATCCATCTATTCGTATGTTTAGAATGTGGCGAGACACCAAAATGTAAATCGCTCAGAGCACATTTAGACGAATGCACTCATCGTGTGGAATCAGGGGAAACTGAAGAAAATTGTAAATTGATTTTTATTTGATTTTTATTGCGTTAAAAATATTTTTCAAAGTAAATGGAATATATTTTATGAATCAATAGGTAACGAAGAATTATATCATTTTATGCATTGTGTAGACCATTGTGTGAGTAAATGTTCCCTTTTAAAGATTCTTCTTTATTAGTTTGATAATTCTAATTCTACTACATTTAAGGCTGCACCTAAAATATTTGCGCACTTGAAATAAATTAAGGATATTTTATCATATCACATCCCCAAGTTATTGATCTTTACCCAATAAAATATCTGAAAAAATTCGCTAATAAATTTTTGCCAAAATTATTATGGAAAGTTCCTAAACATATTTTTTGATCATTCAAAGTCGCACTATTTAGTATTCATTACCTAATATTTTGCTTCTGGATCTATTGTTATACTTTGTTCAGATCGGATTCAGCAATAATTCAGATGCTGAATTTTATCTGAACGAAAACATTTGGATTAGTGAAATAGTGGTGCAAGTGTATGCGCTGTTAGAGATGTCAACGCTAATTGTCCGAATCACGTGTATTGACGCTAAGCGTTGTCTACATTGTAAATTCGAGTTGAATTAAAATTTTACTGGTGGATGTCATTTTGTAGAAATTTCTTTCTATTCTAATAACATTAGATATTAGTTGTTAACACAAATGAAGAGAAGGTAATAACACAATAACACGACAATAAATTTCAAGGCAGAAAAGAAAAGTCGATATTTTTATAATCGAAATTTTGATATTTTTCATCGCTTTAACAATACTATGCACCTTATTCACGATTATCATGCGTCATCAATCGAATCTCTATAATGTATGAAAGAAGTGTTCTTTCTGTTCTTAATTAGAAGTACAATTACCGTAAACTGTCGTGAATAAGCACTACCCCAATTTTATTCAACCATAAATAAGCACCACTATTTAATTTACAAAATTAATTGTTTAATCTGAATCAGTTTCAATGATCATATCATTGTCCATTTTCTCTGCTGTTCATTTGTTTGTTCTATGATTTCTCTATACTCTACTTCGTTCGATTCTTCAATTTCGGGCATCATTCGAAAAATAGCAAATGATCTGGTCATTGTCCATCACAGATACGAATTTTAAATTACAAAAAATGCCCAGGAATAAATACCACCTTATTTTTTGAATCCTAAATTATGTCGATTGAGTAGTGCTTATTCACGGCAGATTACGGTAATAAAGAAACATGGTTATTCTGTTCGTTGTCTTTTGAGGCTTCTTTCATTTTGTACGATATCATCTTCGAGAGGATCTATAGATATTAATGAAAGGTTTTCTCCATTAATTCGAGTTTGATTTCAAAAATCCACTGAGGCGTATAAAATTGGACTGGTTTTGATCTATTCAGGACAAAGAAAAAAACTTTAAAATGCTTTACACTTACACGAAGCTTATAGTGGTCTAATAAATTAGAGTTAAGATTTGCTTTGGCTTTCGATAAAACTGGTTTTCTCTGATGTCGTGATCCCGCCCGGATTGGCTATAAAGTTCCTTTAATTACTCTTAATTTAGGTAAACGTAAAGGAGTTGAAGGACTTGGCACTAGTTTATTCTTTTCTTTACCAGGGGCACTTGACGAACAAGTGATCATCCCTTCGGGTAAGGTCTACTGGGGGCCCTGCTCAGGAACACAGCGTTCGACAATCAGTATCTGGCCCTATAGGGACCCGTTTAACAACCAAATTCAAACATATCCAATTTTCATCATTAAGACCATCTATTATATAAAATATAGTTGTTTTCTTCTTTCGAAGGACGTATGCTTTAGGGTGACATTGCTAATATTTCCTTTGTTGGTTTGTAAATATATGGATCTTAATGTCGTCTTTTCTTCTTTTATCAAAGACAGTCTTATCAGTTAATCTTAGCATCTTGCGTTATAATTAAAATTTACAGAATTTACGCGCGTTTAATGACACGTAAGATCAACAAAATTGACCAATCTAATTGCAAGATCATATGTAACACAAAACTATAATAGGGAAAATTCGAAAATGCAAGTTATCGCAACACGATATATTTATGTAAATTTTTTGGAATAGCAGATAAGAGGTTTTTGCTTTCCAGCCATTTATAATCTGTGAGTTGAAAAGAATGGATTTAACAACACATATACCACTTAATTAAAGCTGACGAAGAAATGAAGAGGAAGATAAATTACCAAATAAACGAGATTGATATCTGTATGCACCATCACACAAGATAGTCACGATCTTTTTTCCTTAAGAGTAATTGATTTTGAGCACAAAAGATCAAACAAGAAGGAAAAAAATTATTAAGTTATAATACCTGGACCCAGTATCTTTGCCATCTCAACGGCAGCAACAACGTTCAATGCAGTAGAAGCCCCCATATAAAGGCCTTCTTCGTCTAATAATCGATAAACCATTTCAATTGATTTTTCATCCGGAACTTGAAGTGCATCATCTATTATATCGACATCAGGCTGTAGATTAGAAGTGATTCGGCCCTGGCCAATTCCTTCAGTAATAGAGCTGCCGGTTCTCTCGATTAATTTTCCGCCACTTTTGAAATAACTAAATAATACAGAGCCAGGTGGATCGGCCAAGAATGATTTTATTTTCGGATTTTTTTCTTTCAAGAATCGCGTGACGCCTGCCAGTGTTCCTCCTGTTCCAGTAGAACATGTGAACCCATCTACCTCACCATTTGTTTGATCCCAAATTTCTGGACCCGTGGTTTCATAGTGTGCACGGCGATTCGCGATATTATCGAATTGATATGTCCAAACAGCATTTGGTGTATTTTGGGCATGTCTAGCTGCTTGATGATTATAATTATCAGGATTTTCGTATGCAACTGCTGGAACTGGATATACCTCAGCACCTTGTATTTTGAAATTATTATGACAAATATGAAAAGTATGAAATCAAATCAAATCATTTCGCATCAAGATCGAGAGGGTCCTACGCTAATACGTATTGTCGGATCCAGCAAAGAAGTATTGTCGGATTAGAAAAGTGTTATTTAGTATAACAAGTACGCCATACTTACTTCGGAAAAGTTTGGTATTGGTCCAGGATACCACACTGACATTTTATTGTCCGTACCATACTTCTTTGCTTGATCCGACAATACGTATTAGCATAGGACCTAGATCGAGAAGGATCGGAAAAGATCAATAAAAATCTGACTTACCTAACATTCGCAATAAGTTAATCTTTTCTTGACTTTGAGTATCTGGCATATAAATCACGCATTTGTATCCTTTTGCTCTGCATACGTGTGCTAAGCCAATTCCAGTATTTCCTAAAATACAGTGGATATAAACGGTAATCTTGTGGATTTCTTGCGATCAGGTAAACAAAAATTTGAGATTATTACCTGCTGTCCCTTCAACGACAGTCCCTCCAGGTTTCAGTAGACCTAAATGTAATACAAGTAACTGATGATAACACGTGGTCTGATGTAATTTTAACACGTCCAATCCGATTGTTCAATTACCTCTTTCTTCTGCATCTTTAACTACATATAAAGCTGCTCTATCTTTAACTGATCCGCCGGGATTCATAAACTCCGCTTTTGCGAATATTTCGGTCCCCGTTTCTCGGCTGGCATTATTTAGACGAATCTTTGCAATTATATAAAATTAATCAATTTATAACATTTGACAAATTCATTAATCTATTATCCTACTGGATGAACGATACTTACTAATGGCGTATTACCAATTGCGCCTATGAAACCATCGACGACCTGTATAGAATATTGGATTTTGACATTCTGATTAATAAGTTTTCAATTACAAAGATTATGAAAATCTTGATATATACCTTTAAATTTGAAACGGGATTTGTCGAAAATAATCTTGTACGCAAAAATAACGAAATACCTCTTCGACTTTTATTCATTTTTGTTCGACAATAGACGGCCGAAAAAAATTCGTCGAGTTTTTAAGGATTCTGATTGCAGTACAACATTTCCAAATTAAGAATGCTTGCCAAAATTATATAAAATTTTTATTAATAAACCCGCCGAAATTGAAACTAAATTCTTAATAATAGAGCCTCTATTTTGCATATCAACTTTCAAAAATTCATTGGCGATTTTTATTGTTCAGCTATTATAACTTTCTAGAATTTTCTATAATATTCTAATTCATTTTATTCTCAAACTATTTCATATTATTTTATATTCATGTCTTATACTAATTCAATTTATTGTATAATTATTTCATTTTGTATTATTATATTATTAATTTTATTATCAATTGATTTTGTTTTATATTAATTATTTTTGTATTATTTACTAAAACCAATTATAATTAAAAATTTCTTCAAAAATTTCTGCTTAGAAATTTTTTTTAAATTAAAATTTCTCGATCAAAAAAGCAGTTTTTTTCTGAATTATAATTAATTTTATTTTATAATTATACTATTTGATTCAATAATATTTTTTATGAATATAATTGTAATATGATTTTGTTATAAATATAATTATTTTTATATATAGATAAATTTCTTTAAATGTTGAATTATAAAAAAATATACAGTGACTAACAGAATTATAGAATTATATATATAATTTTATTAATAAAATACAGTAAAAATTAAAAGTTTTGTTTTATATAAAAGTTTCTAATTACAAAGTTATTGCAAAAATTCTTATAATTAATTTTACATTTTAATTATAAAAAATTTTTGCAATAACTTTGCAATTAAAATAACTTTATCAGAAAAAAATCTAGAAAATCCAGAAAAAATATATTTTAAACTATAACTTATTATTTTTGTTTTAATATAAGGATTTTGTAATTTGTCGCCATGGCGATATATCGCCAGTTCCGAAAAATCACGTGATATATATAAGTATATAATATA